TGAGCAAATGGGGACATATGATCACCACCTATAAGTCTAACACATAGACTTGGTCCATCATAGATGCTCTATAAATTGTGACTGAAAAAAAAAAAGCACTTGGAGGTGACTGTTGACATGCTGATTCCCATGCCCACTTTCAGTAGGTCTGGGGTTGGACCTAGGGGTCAGCACTTGTAAAGAGTTCTTGGTGGCTCACAGTCCCAAGAACCATACCTGAGATGCTGGGTGGGGAGCCCCGGTCCTTCATCCTGGCACCTGGGGCTGTCAATACTCTGTCCCTGTTGGTTACCCTGATCACTTGTCTCAGTCAGCTGTATTGTCCCCCAAACATGCCATACACCCCCTGCCTCTGAACCTCTGCTCTTATATTCCACCTGCCTGGCATGGCCTCTGTGCTGCCTCAAGTCTTTCTACCATGCCTTGCTGCAGGCTGGAGAACATCTGGGGCTCAAGGATATGAGACATGCTCCCCAGAATACACAAGACAGCACAGCCATGTACCCATGGCCAGGAGTCACAGGAATTTAGTTTGCGAAGTGTCATAGCACCACCCGAATCTCAATTTTCTCAGTAAAGGGCAGGGTTAGGGGTGGGAGGTCATTATCAGCCTGGCTGGATTTAACATGTACTAAAAACAAAGATGGGTTTATCATCAGCATTTCTGTTCCCTGTCTCAGCCAGCCATGGCTAATGCCCAGAGCACTCAGGGATGTCCCTCTAAGCTCTGGGCCACAGTCCGTGGCCTGCTGTGCTCTTTGGACTCGAGGCAGTAGCCCAGCTGCAGGTACTTGGGAGAGCAGCCTCTGAGCCACGGGAGGAGGGAGAAGTGAGGAAGACTCCCTGGGGCCCAGGGAGCAGCTCTGCCTGCCGTGTCTCTCTTCTTGACCTTGGCCCTCAAGGGACATCATCAGCTTAGGCTGGGGATGTGGATTCACAGGTTGACCAGGTGGGTGGAGTGAGCAGAAGGGACTGGCAGAGGAGGCAGAGAGCTCCATGGCAGACAGCCGCGCAGGATGACCCTGGCTGCTCCAGCATGGAGACCCGGTGAGACCCGAGCCCGGGATGGCAACAGCGTGCAGCGGGGCTGAGGAGCCTTGGCCAGACCCAAGCTCTAAACAGGTTCTAGCTGACACCAAAGGTGCTGGGTCCTGGGCATCCTATTTTTAAATAAAATTTAGGCTTGAAAAAGAAAAGGATGTTTGTCTAATCCACATTAGTAGCCAGACAAGAGCAAGCTGGCCACTAGCTTGCCAGTAGGCACTTGTGAACAAGCAGGCTCTCTGAGTGGCTGGGAACCATTTCCATCTTGTTGACAAACACATGTTGCAAGGCAGGAAATTACCCTCTTCAGTCCCTGTTTTATCTCTGTTTAATTACTGTTTGATAATAAATTACAACATAGAGTCTATTAATTAAGCTAACAATGTCCGTGGAACACCAATTCCTTCTTCTGGGAGTTGCCTTGTTACAGGAGCTTTGATTCAGTCTCTGTTTGCCCACAGCACTTTATGAAGCAGTTTATAAAGATTTCAAGGCATGTGACTGGTGGAAGAACGACTCCTGGTGTAGAGGGAGGTGTTTGGGGAGGAGGGGAAGGAAACCTTGATGAACAAGAGGAGGCGCAGCCTGGCAGCTGGAGAGCTGTACCAAGGCTGCACTCTAATTCAGAACTTGTGAAAGAGCAGAGAACAGCATTAGATTTACTTAAAAAGTCAACCAATGAAAAATAACGGTGGCCTGTTTAAAGGCGTTCATCCTAGAGCCGGTGGGGGGTGGGGGGAAGCAAAGAGGAGCCTGATTCGATTTGCCATTCCATAATCAGCTAAACGGCCTGAGCATTCATTTGGAAAAGTTCTGCATGCAGTCAGAACTGGTGAAAGAGGCATTCCAGTTCCTTGCTGCGAAAAGCTCAGGTACCACACTGAATGCCTGAAGCTCCCAGCCGGAGGGGTATCTTGGCACCTGGCTCCCGACCAGGCAGGGAGTACACAGGTGGCCATCTCTGGGGAGAAGGCTCTCTGTAAATTTCACCCGTGTTGTCTGGGACATGGGTCACCTGAGCATTCCCACTGGATCTGTTCAGCAGGTGCCTTGGTAGCATCTGAGGGAAGGGACAAAATAGAAGGGAAGGCTCTGAATGAGAGGATGAGGAAGGTCAGATTCACAGGGGTCTGTCCCAGATGCTACTTGGAGCCGTGGGCTTCACAAGAGCATTAGAGGGTGTTCTGAGTAGCCAGAGCAGACAGGGCAGGCAGGGGACCCTGGCGGGTAGCCACAGGGCCACAGAGGCAGAAGTAGCCACCTCAAGGCCCTGGCCCCTCAGCTTTAGCCAAAAACTTCCCGAGTGGCTTAGAAAACCTTCCCCTGAAACACCCAGGTAAAAAGCCACTCCTTAGAGCCACATAAGGAAGCCCTTAGCTCTCTGGAAGACTTTATTAGATCATCTATACTCCCTTTCTCATTCACAGAAGTTGGCTCTCAGGCCAGTTTTTGATTAGGCAAATATCTAAATGCAATAGTGTCTATTATGTCATAGTTAATAAGTACTCAGTTCAAATGTCACCTATTCAAAAGCCTGGGAGTTAAGTATTCTTCTGAAAGTGACTCCTGGCATTTCCCAAAATGATGGTCATGGATAGCAGTGTGGTTCAGAAGTGGCATCCCTAGGGCTCAGTGTCTAGATTCCTGCTGCCCTCCTGGCCCAATACCCTGGGTCCCCATTTCCCTCTCCCAGCCATCTCACCTGAGACTAGCTGAGGGCGATTGCTGGCTGCTCATTTAACCTATCCCAGGACACAGTCTCTTAAAGGGCTGACTTGGCTGTCCCCTGTAGGCCACACCTCCCCACCTTCATGTCCCTGTCGCCATGGCCAGGGAAGTCTAGGGTAGTTCATTCCTCCAGACCCTGGGAGGGGAAAACTGGGAGTCATAGGGGCTGAAGGCTGGGATATCTCTATAGCATCCACCCCTCTTTGAACTTCAGAACTGGTTGTGTCTCATCTAAACATATCGTCCTCCCAGATGAACCCTTCAGTAGCCCCCCAGTGCCCTCAGGGTCTAGACCCAAGCTCACCAGGCCAGCATTATTGAATCTAACAGGGGACCTTTTAGAAATGCAAAATCTCACTTCTTCAAGACCTCCTGTCTCAGAAACCCTATGGGTGGGGCCAGGGGTTGGTGCTTTTACAAGCCTCCCAGGTGACTCTGAGGCACACAAGTGGGCACCAGTATCTTGGAGCATGCCCCTGCAGGCCCCCGGAGACCTGTCTCTCCATCTCTCCTTTGCCTTCTCTCTCAGCACTTCCTTCCCTCTTGCATTCTAAGCCCCAGCCAAACTGGGCCACCTCCTGGGTTCCCATGCTCTGCACCCAGGCTGCCTTGCTCTTTCCACACTTACTATACTGAGGGTTCCTGCCTCATTACTTGCCACCCCACCTCAAGCATAAACCCCCTGAGAAGAGGGGCTATATCTCATCAGGTGCTGTATACAATTTGATCATCATCTACAGTAGGTGATCAAGAGGGATCTGTTGAGTGAACAAGTAAATGAACAGATGAAGATGCTCCCTGGATTCTTTGGCCCATGTTACCTTTAATCTGATGCCCTGTTTCCACATGAGAGCCTTCAGAAAGTGGAGCAGGGCTGGGATTCCCAGTCACTCTGCTACTCCCCATGGACACTTGAGCAGCTTTAGGCGGTGGTAGAGCTCAGTAAATAGTGTTGAGAGAAATGGGTTGGATTTGGACTTGCAATGCTTCCTGCTGGAGGGCTTTGTCTTCTTGTCAGCTTTGTTCACAGGTCCTCATCCCTCTGTGCTCTCAGTTTCCTCCTGCTGCTTGCCTGCCTCCCAGAGTGACTTCAAGGGTCAGAGAACTCAGGGCTCCACCTGTCTGGCACTACTCGATCACACACTGGGGGTGGAGGGGGTAGCAAAGGGTCTGGACTATGAGAACCACCTGCAGTAATGATAGAGCTAGTATAATTCTTCTCCTTCCAGGTACTGGCTTAACAGGGAAGCAAATGTGCTATGAGCAGGGAAAACCATGAGCCTTTATGAATGTATGTGTGAGTACATGTACATGACTGATGAATGTGAATTTGCATGTTAACAGGTATGTTCATAGAATATGAGAGAGATGGAGGGAGATTATAGGGAATTTTGTCCAGTGTCTTCCTTTTATAGATGAGAGAGTCTGTGAGTCTGGCTTAGGACCAGCTGTCTAGTATGTGCACCTCTGCAATTGAATATAAAATTTATTTTCCCAATGTGTAACTTAACTTTCCTTACTATTGGTGAACAAAAAAATGTCTTACATTTTTATGATTATCAAGTCGATGACATTTTTGGAAATGTCGTCTTCCAATCTTAGTGAATTTCTGCTAAGCTCTTTATGTACACACACATATATGCACACATGTACATACACACTGTGGGCTAGCACAAAATTGTGAAAGACAACTCATTTACCAAACTCTATTTGTACTTCGTTGTTTGATTGTTTTACCTTTCTTGAGTAATCGTACGTATTCTCCTGAGAGACCAGAGAACATGTGTGTTCCCTGAAATGTTATTGCAAAGATGTTTCTACTTTCCAGTCGGTGCTTGGCTCTAAGTACCAGTGCTTAAAGACCAGGTCAAACTTACCGCCAAACTGGTGATGGCCTTTCAGGATGGACGTGTCAACCAAGCTCTCCTGAGGGAAAGTGCTAACAGTTGTAAGCAGGCGCATCTGGTTATTATTACAACATATGCACACGTGGCATACACTTGCCCATTTATTCACCTTTTCCTTTCAGTATGAAACGTGTCCATTGATCTTCTTAATATCTCTGCTAATGCAACTGCTTAATCTTTTCCCTAGCTCCTATACAGAAACAACCAGTAAGCCCCCCACCTTCTTAAAATCTCAGGGCATGTAACAACTACAAAGTAGAGAACAACAGGAGTTACCAGAAGCCCCACAAATCCCCTTTCTGGTCAGAGATGGGCTCCTACCTGGGGTCCCCAGCCATGGCATGGGTACAGTATTGCTGTGTGGTTCTCCAATGGCCCCTGGTCCAAGCAGACATCTTTTGCCTTGTTGTTGCGAAGCTGCAGGAATGGGCAAAAACCATTAGAGATGGTGTGGTGGGGCTGCTGCCCCCAACCACTGTTCTACCATGACGTGAAGGCCCTGTGCCCCCCTGAGTAAGGACCAAGGCTCAAATCTGTGAAGTGATCATTTTAACAAGAGAGACAAAGCCCTTTGATGTATGGTGTGAGCATCAGCCCTCTGCCTGTGACCCTGCCACTGACACAGCTCCCCTGTCCCTGGAACAAAAGAGGATCTCAGGGAACTTTTAGACATAGCAGCATACCCATTGATTATCCAAAAACACAATAACCCTGGGAATTATAGGTCAGCTTCTCAGGTCATTACTGGCATAGAGGCATGAAAAACAATAATCAAAAAAAGCAAACAAAAGCCTTGCCATCATGAAAAGTTCTAGCAACATTTGTTTATATTCAAAAAATATATACTGAATGCCTACACCATGCCAAGCACCATACTAGGAATTTGAAATGCATCTGTGGCAGAATGGATAGAAGTCCCCAGGACAAACCCCTGAAGCTAGGCATGTCTCTGGGAGTGCATAAGAATTCATCTAAGTGGGACCTCCAGGTCCACTGTGCTTCTATGTTGGTGTCCATCCCACCCACCAACCACAGTCTCAAGAGTGGGAAAATGGCAGTGTGGATGGTCTTCCCCATATATACCCAGTCCCCTCCAGATTATATTTTCCATGGAAACCAAAAATTAACCAAGGAAAAATCAAGAATTGAGGCAAAAGGCATTCTGCTTTTATGTACCCAAATTATGTCCAGGTTCAGACAGCTGAGCAGAGTTTTAATGCTCTCCCTTTTCAAAGGTTATGAAAATAATAGCATCTATTAAGATATTATAAACTACAGATGAAAATAATAATTGTTCACAATTCGTTCACATAATCAGCTAATTTTACCCAATTTTTGGAAAAATAAATTTGTTCAATTTTGACTGTAGTGAGCAACTTTACGTATAAAGCTCTGTTCACATTTCAGATTTTTTTAGGAATAGAATCCTAGAACTGGGATTACAGTATCAAAAAGTATGGACATCTCAATGTTCTTAAAACAAGCTACTCAACCGCTTTCTGGAAGCTTTGAACTAATTTATGTTCCCAACCACAAGGTATGTAAAGACTTATCAGTCCTGAGGTTCACCCTCTAAGAATATGGTGTTGGTCAAACACATACACTTCCACTTATAAAATGAATGAATTCTGGCTATCTATTGTGTAGCATGGTGATTATAGTTAATAATTGTGAATTATGTACCTGAAAGTTGCTAAGTGAGTAGCTTTTAAATGTTCTTCCTACAAAAAAGAATGGTAATTATGTAATGTGACTGACATGTGAGCTAACCCAAAGGTGGATCATTTCACAATATCTAAATGGATCAAATTAACACGTTGTACACCTTAAACTTACACACTGTTGTATTTCAATTATATCTCACTAAATCTGGGGACAAAATTAGACACAGGCTAGAGAAAAACTATTCTAAGGACAATGGTGGAACATTCTTTTACACCCAAGATAAGAAAAATTTGTGGTGAGGAGTGAAAGTGATGAACCAGACATGATGCTACACAAATAGTCCAGACCAAGCTATTTCTAAAGAATTGTAATGCCAGCTGAGGAGCCCAGCACACATGACTTTAGTTCTTTTATTGATGCTTTTAAGGAAATACTTGTTACCAAAACTTTCAGTGGTGTAAAGGTTAAATGATATGGAAAAGCCCATATAACTTCTGAATCAAAAAGTGATTCAGATGGGTTAGATTTGGAAGGTGATGATATTTTAGAAATACCTTTAACCAATGTATTTTGCTTCTATTTTCCTTTTTTATGTATATATGAAGGCAATATGATAAGAATATGTTTAATGAAGTGTAACAAAGCTTTTAAAATAAGTATAAAATAACAATTACAGTGATAAAAAATAAATGCTATTGTTTTAAAAGGTGCATAAATTTACAATTAATAGTATATTGCAATGTTTTATGTTTAGCAATTATTTCCCTTTTTGAGAATTGCCTGTTTATTTCCCTGTTGGGATCTCAAGTGTTTTTATTACAAAACCTTTTGTAAGAGCTCTTTGCATATTAAGGATATTGTTTCTATGGCATATTTGTTCCATATAATGATTTCAGAATATTAGGTTATTAAATTTTGCTTCTAATGTTTATGTAATCAAATGCATCATCCAGTAATTGAATAAATATTTATGGAGGATCTGGTAAGTGCCTGGCACCAGGCTAAGTTTAACGAACACAAAGAGGAACAAAACAGTCCCTGCCTGGAAGTAGCCCATAGTCTGGAGAGAAAGACAGACACAAGAAGAGCTAGTACAATAACTGAATGATGCCAGGAGCTTTCTCACCCCACCTGAGGGTTCAGAGACTAAGAAGTAATTCAAGTCAAGTGTTAGAAAGGATAAGGGGAAGGAATATTGGCAGGGTCCTATTTTTCACCTAGGCAGTGGCTATGTGGATTTTTGCTTTTTGTGATTATGCTGTACATGCATGTTTTATGCACACTGTGAGTGTTGTCTTTCATATAAATGATAGTTAAAGAGAGAAAGATGAGTCAAAGTGAACTAGGAGCCAGAAGCAGATCAAGCTGCAAGGGCAACATGAGACAACCATGGACTTTTGAGCAACAGAGTTGTTTTGCGCAAACTGAAGTGGTTTCCCAAGTGAGAAGGCAATAGTTCCTACATGTAAGTCAGGACATAAGGCATCCACATAACTTTCTTTAAAAATTATTTAAAGACATTCAGTTAATAGAGATGGATAGAAATTAAAAAATCAAGGAAAAGTAACATCTCCTCTAAATGGGCCTGAGCATATGGGGGCACTGGTGATATGGGGAGGCAGACACTATGGGGCTGATACCTGCTCAGAGGAGTTTGTCTGCCTTTGCCACTGGGCTGGGGGCTGGGTATTGGTAAAAGGACTGGTAGCAATGAGCATTAAAATACAATTGTCTGGATGCAGTAAAAGTGAGGAGAGGCTTAAAGATGGCTGTGTGAGAGGTGAGACAGAAACCTCCTCCCAAAACCACATATAATATGAAAACATAGCAAGTACATCTAATCTGAAAAAGCAACAGGAAAGAAAGCTGTGGCAGACTGCCTACACCTAGGGAAAAGAGCAGACCTCAAGGAAAAGGGTAAAGTACCAAAGCCATGGTCCAGAGGGACCCAAGGCTTTCTCCAACCCTGCTCATTGGAGGGAGGAAGAGAAATGGAGCAGGGAAAGGGTGGAGGCCTAGGACTGCTGAGCACCCAGCCCTAGAGATCTGCTCTGGGAGCACAAACCTACATTACATAGTGCTCTGGAGATTAGTGGGGTTGGAAAGCTAAGACAGGTGGAATACTTGGAGAGACTGAGATTCCAGCCATCTGTGGAAAACATATATCCACAACTGGCCACTCTGGGACAAAAGAAAGGCAGGCAGTTTGAGGGACTTCTAACAGTGATAGTGTTGCTAAAGGGGCAAGGATTGCCCAGAGCTTGCTACTCAGGAGAAAGCTCTGCCCAGCAGGTTGGGAACTTTCAGGAGCTTCAGGCACTCCATCCCACTGGCTGACTATGCAGCTATGAGGCTCCTCACTGTGATAAACAGTATGCTGCACCTTCCCTGGATGGCATCAGTTTGCAAACTGGCTACCCCTACCAATGTGCAAGGCCAGCCAGAGGGGAGCCCCACCTATGGCAGCTAAAAACACAAACCATAGAGGTTTCTCCCTGCACGCTTGGCCAACTGGCCCTGACAGTGAAGGCAGGCACTGCAGCTGGGAAGCGGGAAAGAGCCCTTTCCTCCCGACAGGCACCAGTGCTGCTTGCCTGTGACCCCCGCCATTGCTCCAGGGGCTGAGCAGCTCCAGAGAGTAGAGCATCTGTGTACTAGAGGTCACCACCTACAGACATAAAAAGTCATAGGAACCTGGTTGAAATCAAAATCATACAAACAAAAGAAAGAGGGCCAAGTGAAACTGAACTCATCAATTTTCTTGAAAGAGATTTCAAAATAAAAATCATAAACATGATCACAGAGCTAACAAAAAATATTCAAGAACTCAGGGAGGAATTCAAGAATGAGATACAAACATTGAAGAATACAGTATCTGAAATGGAACGTACAATGGAGGGATTTAAAAGCAGATTAGATGAAGTACAGGAGATGGTAAACAGAATAGTAATTAGAAAACAGGAATACAAAGAAGCTGAGGCACAGAGAGAAGAAAGGATCTCTAGGAATGAAAGAATATTGAGAGAAATGTGTGACCAATTCAAATGGAACAATATTTGCATTATAGGGTTACCGGAAGAAGAAGAGAGAGAAAGGGATAGAAAGTGTCTTTGAGGAGGTAATTGCTGAGAACTTCCCCAATCTGGGGAAGGAGATAGCCTCTCAGGCCATGGAGGTACACAGATCTCCCAACACAAGGGACCCAAGGGAGACAATACCAAGACATATAATAATTAAAATGGCAAAGATCAAGGAAAAGGACAGAGTATTAAAAGCAGCCAGAGAGAGAAAAAAGATCACATACAAAGGAAAACCCATCAGGCTATCATCAGACTCTCAACAGAAAACTTACAGGCCAGAAGGGAGTGGCATAATATATTTAATCTGGTGAAGCAGAAGGGCCTTTAACCAAGAATATTCAACCTGGCAAGATTATCATTTAAATTTGAAGGAGGAATTAAACAATATCCAAATAAAAGCTGAGAGAATTTACCCCCCACAAACCATCTCTACAGTGTATTTTGGAGGGACTGCTATAGATGGAAGTGTTCCTAAGGCTAAGTAGCTGTCACCAGAGGAAATAAAACTACAGTAAAGAAACTAGAACAATGAATTACTTAGCAGATGCAATAACAAATCAACTTCCCTCAAAGTCAGTCAAGGGATAGACCAAGAGTACAGAATATGATACCTAATATATAAAGAATGGAGGAGGAAGAAAAGGGAGGAAAAGAAAAGAACCCTTCGATTGT